TGATGTCTTTTGCCAATTGTGAGAAACTATGCATAACTGAGAAGAAACTCAGGAAGTCAAGAGATGAACTAGAAAGAAACGAAAGAAACAGAAGGGGAAAAATCAATAGAAATTGAAAAAAGAACAGAATAATTTTATAAATGTATCATATACATTATATGCTATTCAATGAAAAACAACAGCAAACTAAAATACCAATTACTAATGGCTAAACTAAACCCCAGGCATTATTCTGACTTTTTAAAAATTTTTTTGGAGATGATTTATGAAATAGAAACATGAATTTTAAATCAGTTAGCCTGGATAGTAAGTTTTTCCTCTCATGCATGAACAGACCTCTCAGTGTTGTTCTTCAGAGCTCATGTTATATTTACACGAGCTTTTCCAAGGTTACTGGAAGCAATTGGGTTTCAAGTGATTCCAGGCTGTATTCTGTTCAGTTTAAGGCCAAAAAATTTGAGACACAAAGCCAGAACGCCCATTTTTCCAAAGCAAACCTAAAACTACCACCTAAGCAGAAAATGGCTTGTGACAAACAAAGGAAGAAAGCTACGAAGTTCATAATAAGATCATGGCTTGAGTTGAATCAAATTGGAACAACATGTAAAAAATGTTTTATCTTTTTTTTTTTTTTTTTTTTTTTTTTTTTTTTTTTTTTTTTTGCAACTGCAGTGAAGAAAAAGAAGCATTATTGCTGAGCTGAAGAGTTGCCCCAGTTTCCACCATCATAATTTAAATCATGAATGGACTTATGACACTGCTTTTCCCTGGCAACTATGAATACATGGGATTGAAGCAGTATTTTGCACTGAAAATTATCCCAGACACGGAATCAACTAAAAAGCTTTTAAAATAGAAACACTGTGTCTGAGAAGTCAGGAGCAACACTCTCAGAGAAACCACAAGCTCTCTGATGTTGCAGAAGACTTTGCGTTACCTGCAGAATGACTTAAAACAAGATTATTTTTCTTTGTTATTCTAGGTTAATTTCCAGTCTTTGACCACAAGGCCATAATTTGAAATGCTATTCGACCTACTGTAGAAGGAGTTATATGACATTCATGACTTATACAGATTGAAAGCTTGATACAGAAACAATGGCATAGCTACAACAATAACACAGACAGTCTGTTCTCTTTGCGTGTACAGCCTATTTTCTTACTCAAAGGTTGAACTTTGCATCCCCATCTTTAGTTGTAATTAATGAATACTGAATGGCAAGAAATCAATCACCACTTGTAGATGATATCTCATTTCATTTGCTTGCTTGTGATATTTTACAGCTCAAACATCCAAAGCCAAAACTAGCTTAATTGGGCATTTTTTTCTCATTTCTCTTGGTTAGTGTACTTCAAATTGATTGCAAAGTACAAGAGAGTAGATGGTATGCAGACAATTCTATCTCAATCAGATCACTGCATATAACATTTTCTTAATCATTTCTTGTTTGCTGCATTTATCTCTCTGTTGTTATTATTCTTGCTTGCTACATGGATTACACAAAAGAGTTTGCTTGTTTGTTTTGTATTCCCTTTGCAAAATCTGCATTCTCCTTCTTTCTATTTCCTCAGTTTTCTTCTCTCTCATACAGTCCCATCTCTTTTTGCTCCTGTTCTGCATGCACACTGTATTTCATCTGGTGATACCTCAGCATTCAAATTTCCCTCCAAGTAAAGTATTGTGGATAAAACCATTTTCTAAATGTATCTGCACCTCTAACAGAGATAAAAATTTCATTTTTACTGTCAGAAATATTTCAGCTTGCAAAAAATTCCTGTAAAACCTCTTCTTCATTTCTAATTCCTAAGATTCCTGGACTGTTTCTTTGAAAATCAAATTGAAATCCAAAATGAGAAATGCAGTTCAATAACTTAACCAACCACAGAGACAGAGTTACTATTTACAAATGGGAGTTAGTGTGTGAAAGCAGAATGTGGCTCTTGAAGACCTAACAGGAAAAGATTCTTTGATTTATATCAAAGATGTCTGTAAAATTTCAAATAGAAAGTACTGAAAATCCAAGGGACTGATATTAAATACTGCAGCAGTAGGGAGAACACAGCAACAGAGGAACACCTGCACCCAGAGCCATTTTTGACAGGTACCAACTGGCCCCGTCTGTCTGCAAACAAGACTGAATTTGCTATGGAAACCAATTCAGGCTGCCCAGTGGAGGGTCAAAAGTGAAAGGAAAGGAGTCAGAGGGCTCTAGGCAGTGTGCATTGTGCAAATGCTTGTGCACACCTCCTGGACAACAAAGGCATGTTGTTCTCTCATCCATGGTTAAGAGGAACAGGGATCAAGAATGCTGTGTAACATTACAGTGACCTTGGAAATAGGTACTCTGCAAATGCATGATGGTTAGCTCTAATCATATGCACAGATGTACCACCTGCATCCAACAACCATACCACCTTTTTTACACACCACAAACTAGGAGAAGTTAGATTTGATATCTGCAAACTTACTCTCACTCACAATTTTAATCTATGACCTGTCAATATTACCCTGACTCCTTGCTTCTCCAGATACAAAATATCACAAACTACCACTCAACATTCTCAACTGAATGTATGGCCTCCTAAGCCATGAGGTTAAGAATTTTGATATTACATTAAAAAACGTATTTCCCAATTCAATGACGAATGTACTTGCTCTAGTAATTGTGTCCAAATGAAGAAAAATGAGTCTTTTTTAGTGGAAAGCCATTTAGAGGAAGCAGACGTATTAAAATCTTCTCCTGCTCAATCATGGATTAAGCAGCTGTCTATTTACCAGGGCTATAGAAAGACTACAAACAGAATCTAGTCTATTATTATGTATTAAAAAGTGAGCTTTATGGATGAGAATGACCTCACTTGCTTCACTGTACCAGTTCAAAAAATGCAATTTTAAGTTACTGAGAAATGTGGAGAAATCACATTAAATGCTTCCATTATCAGTACCAAGTGTGCCCTCTTATAACTTACATGGGAAAACTGCTTTGAAGTGCAAACCCCAGCACTAGTTGAAATGAACAGAATGCCAAACGATGCTTCAGCAACACTTAGGAAAAAATATTTTAAATTTACCTTCATTTGTTTGTTTAATATCTATGTCTCTGGTTCTAGCTAAGACAGGCTAGCTGCAACACTTACAAACTTTGCTGATATTAGGTGAAGTCTGGAGCAATGGAGCCGTGCCCACATTAACCCAGGCCCGCTGTTTTTAAAATGCAGCAATGCCTCCAAAGACCACGCTGCTGTTTCTACACTATCTCAAAATAAAAGAAAGAAAAATCTAATGCTTTCAGCATACAGTTTGAACTGCAAGAACTTTTATGCACCTTTATTGATGTTAACCTCATGATCATGCATTAGTTTTTTCCTATATCACAGAATCATAGAATGGCCTGGGCTGAAAAAGACTGCAAAGATCATGTGGTTTCAACCTCCCTGCCATGGGCAGGGTCACCGACCACTAAAACGGCTGCCCAGGTTATTTCAGAGCAGAAAAAAAGAGAAAAGAAGCAAAAAGCAGAATTACTTTTGCATTCCCCCTTTCCTGTTGTTGGTAAAAATTGTCAGTAAGTTAACATAAATGCCTTCTTTATAGCATCCCATCTGTATGCTCTTGGAAAAATCAATCTGGATTTGTTCAAAACAAACTGCTCTTTCAGATGCTCAGTTAAAAGTCTTTTACTAGGGTTTGGGTTTTCTTTTTTTTTTTTTAAAGAAACAATGATAGATATCAAAATGATTTGATATCACATAATTATGAAAATGTTGTATTGTAAAACAATCCCAACCAGATACAGTAACTTGTACCCAATTGGGACTCAAATCTACATCATTTACTGCCACAGTAGTGCCACAAATAAACTTTGCAATCATGAAAAGACGACAGAAGTGCAGTACATAGTAGATAAACACACACTGAGCTTCCTGGACATTCTCAGTCCTACGATCATAGACTGATTTGGGTTGGAAGGAACATCAAAGACCACATAATTTCAACCCCCTGCCATGGGCCCACTACACCAGTTTGCCCAAATTCCCATATCCAGGTTGGCCCTGAACACTTTCAGGGAGGGGCATCCACAGCTTCTCTGGGCAGCCTGTGCCAGTGCCCCACCACCTTCATAGTAAAGAATTTCTTCCTAAAGTCTAATTTAAATCTGTTTTCTTTTAGTTTAAAGCTGTTACTCCTTGTCCTGTCACTACACTCCCTGGTAAACTGTCCCTCCCTCTTTTCATGTAGCTCAGGATGCAGTTGGCTTTCTGCTAGTTCACATTAAGTTTTTCATCAACCAACACTCCCAAATCCTTCCCCGCAGGGCTGCTCTCAACCCATTCATTGCCCAGCTTGTATTTGCGCTTGGGATTGCCCCAACACAGATGCAGGACCTTGCACTTGGCCTTGATGAACATCATGAAGTTTGCACAGGCCCACCTGTCAAGCCTGCCAAGGCTTCTCTGGACAGCATTGCTTCCCTCTAGCAAGTCTCAACTGCACCACGCAGCTTGGTGTCGTCTGCAAACACACTGAGGGTGCATTCAGTCAGACTGTGTCACCAACAAAGAAGTTAATGAGTGCTGGTCCCAACACCAAGCCCTGATGAACATGACTCATCGCTGGATGCCCCCTGGACACCAAGCCATTGATTGCAACTCTTCGAGCACAACCATCCAGCCAATTCCTTATCCATCAGATGTTCTGCCTTTCAGATCCATGTCTCTCCAAATTAGAGACAAGGATGTTGTACAGGACAGTGTCAAATGTCTTTGCTATTGAAGTATATTTACATGCCAATGGCCCAGCTAAAATTATAAACTGGACAGAGGCACACAGTATATCATTGAATCTTATAATCTAGCTGTTGCAGGTGTAACATCTAAGTAAGAATTCAGGAGAAGTTTTTCCTCTTTAAAAAAGAAAAAGATCTAAGGGGAAAAAACAAATTTCTTTCTTTCAGGCTGTATGTCACTATACAACTGTTAGAGTTTGTGTTTAACACTAACCAGTCCAGCTGGCTTCTTTGCTTTCGCAACAGTCTTCATAGCTTCCTTCAGTTGTTTTCTACAGTCTTCCTTTGGCTCGCCATGTTTATAGCACTAGGAGAGGAAGAAACAAAGCAATTGTAAAGCTTGTTAAGAAGTAGTTTATGTACTATTAAAGGTGGCCTCCCCACTTCCAGTTCCATTTGTTCTTCTTCCTTCCCAGAGTGGGGCAAATCTTTCCATTTAAAATCTGAGCACTCTTTAGCAGTCAGATCTCTGAGAAAAGCATCCAAAGCTAAGTCCCGATCTGTCCCAAGCTTCTGAAAAGCTTAGATTAACATTCTAAAAAGCCAAAGGATCACCCCACAGCAGTTAGAAATCTACAGATGTACTGGGATGCAACACAATTCTCATGTAGTCTTCGTACTGGGTGAAGAACTGCTGATCATGGCAATGCAGGTAGCATAGTGGCAGCCTCTAAATGAAAAAAATCTGAAGATGCACATCTCAGAATGACTCACCCTACAGAGAAACATGCCTTTGCAAACAGCTGTGCTATACAAGTACTGCCTATTAACTCTTTCTCATTCGTTCATCATACAGCACTCCAGTGGAAATTTTAATCCTTATCTATCTATATTCTTTAGACCATTTCCTGTTCTGTTTCAATAAGGCCAGCCAGGTTAGTTGACACTCACAGAACTTTGCTAACCAGGATCTGAAATGGATAGGGGTGTCAGTGGTTCAGTTGAGGATGTGGTTTCACATTGAACTTCGGTGTAAATGCAAGTTGCCACAGGAGCTATGTGGTCGCTTGCTTTCTTTAAGAGAAAGTACTTTTTTTCTTTTAGAGAGTACCCTGGACCACCAGCCTCTAATACTTGCACAGGTAGAAAGGGCTACTGCCCTATAAAATATTAATTAATTATGGACAATTTACATATCCATACATTTTTTCATTTGTAAAAAAGAGATGGGATATCAGGTTAATTGTCCTGTGTACCTGTTACCAGCTGTGAACATACACTTTACATCTTATCACCTATAAAAACAGCCAAGTGTAGCAGAGAAACATCCACGGTAGGATAAAGAACTAACCTAGGAGTTCTGTGTGCACTCCCCACAATTTATAACATCCTAAAGTTTATAAATGTCTACAAGCTTGCTCAACAGACAAGAGTGAGAAGAAGTACAGCAGAAAAAGCAGCTGCAGCTTGTACAGCATAAAGCTCACACTGATGTCCCCAGAACTGGAGGTGAGCATTTCACTTAAACACATTGGTTGCTCAGGATTAACATCATGTTCTCCCTGCTCTCTCTGGAAGAAACAAACAAAATGTTTCTAGAACTCATGCTTGCCTCACATAAAAACATAAAACGTCAGGTTGGCAATGTGAGATGTTCAAAAATGAAGGCCCAGGTCTTACAGAGATGTGATAAATTTGGCACTGTATATCACTCCCACTACCTGAATATGAGAAGAACTTTAATTTCTGGGTGTTCAGACCACTCTGAAAATATTATTTCAATTCCATATAAACTAATTAACTTCAACCCCAAATATTACATTTGTGAATCTGTTCTGATCAAATTTAAAATTTCTACTATTTCTGACACATGAGCCATCCAAAATGACCACCAGTGTGGAAATTTAAATGATCAGAGCACATCTTCGTTTTTTCCCCTGAAATTAAAACGAACCACCTGCTTTATTTTAAAACTCAGGAAAGGAAAATCTTATAAACTCAGAATAAATAAATATAAGTCCTCCACAAACAAAATGTTTGCAATTAAAAGAAATTCAGAACAGAATATATCTCTTAAAATAGAATTTTCTGAGTATCTTTGTCTAAAGCCCCCATCAAATAAAAGTTGATTTTTCTTACTATGGCAAAAGAAAAGGCTGAAGTCATACCTAACCCAAATCACATCATCCTAGTGAGAGGGAATTATCTCAGTTTACAGGAGAGGATTGATCCTAATGGTGTCTGCCTGAAGCTCTCAGGTAGAGAAAAGCTTGAGCTCTAATGGCAGTGTGCAGAATGACCCATATTGCCTTTTGGCTAAGTGCTACTTCTAGCAGGCTCTAGAAGTTTATCATCACTATATGGTAATTATGACTTTTCTCAGACACAAAGAATTATGGCTTTTATCAGTGGCTCATGCCAAATCTGAGTTCTTAAAAGAAATCAGCCCAAAGCAGGTGCACAGAGCTGTCAGACCTTGAAATTTGTTTTGAAACCAACCACCTGTTAGTGTAATTGTGTAGCTGTTTTTCCTGGCTTATGGGATTTTAGTTCAGCTGTTGTTCTCATGCTAACGCTTATTTCCTCTAGGAATCAGCCTGTCTGTTTACGCAAACTTACACATTTCTATGTGACTGTCTTCAAGCCTGATTCAATGCATACATGCACAATGTCTGTTGTAGCACCTTTACCCAATAATACCCTTTATTTACAAACTAGCTCACACTGCTTCAGGAAAATGTCTGAAAAGCAGCGTGTACCATCCTGTTTGTCACACTGAATCACTTAGATGACTCGACTCTGTTTCTTGTTTGTTTTAGACAGCAACAAAGAACTTGCAGTGGATGATCTCAAAGATCAGATTTTATGTGGGTGCCTGACTCACGTTTTACTGATAACAGAGCACTGTTTCTGCAGCTGAAAGAAAGTTCTTAGTCAGGATTTCTACTGAAACCTCTGTTTCTAAAGGTTTACAGCTTCACCCAAAGCCAACTGTGGGTTAGAAGTTATCAAAGACACTCGGTGCACAGGAACACTTAATCAAAAATCTGATAGAAAAATTCTGCCTGCGTGTGAGATAAAAGTGTAAAAATTATTATCAGAAAGACAATGGCTTAAGATGCTTTTTGTAAACGAGCAATGGCGTCTAAGAAATAACAATGGGCTTGCACTTAAGGGGCTAGTCAGAACTGCGGTTCCTTTATGCTCCAGATTGCTGTTTTCAACCTCCTTTGGACAGGAGCCACCTCAGAAAAAGAATTGGGCACTTGGGTCAAAACAATAGATGAGCTGTTCACAGAACGTCTCCCGGCACACTCGTTCCGAGTCATCCTGCAGCTCCACACTGCCCTCCAGGGAAGGCTGTCACCAAAGTCACGAAGTATCCCTCAGTTTCCCTCAGCCGGGGATTATTCCTCAGGAATACACATAACGCGAGTAAGAAAAATATAGCTGACGTGAACATATTCAGAAGCTATTTCCTGACATAAAATCGGTAAAAGATAAATTATAAAGATTAAATATTCCACACGTTCTTATTCATGCACAGATAACTGCTATCCAAACGCCTTTCTCAAGCATCATACAGAGGAAACGATAAACAATTTATGGGTGATAGTTCATAAATAGAAGCAGTGCTGTATATCCAGTGGGCACAGATATTTCATAGTGAAAGACATGATTACTAGGTTTATGCAAGACATGAAATGTGAGTTGTTAGCAGCTATTTAGAATCATTTTGGGGCACAATAAACGGTTGCCGAGATTTATCCTATTTAAATGTATTGCCCGTCCCTGACTGTAGTGCATGTTGTCTTGCTTTTATCAGAAGGAATCCTTTCAAAATGGAGAAAAATTGAGAAACTCAGTTGTTTACCATTGTCTTAACTTAAAAAGACTTCATCTTTGTGCAGAGTTCTGTTAAAAGAAATCCTGCTTATCATAATCACGTACTTCCCCAAAGTTCCTGTTTTTTTAGAAGTCTTATTAATTGCAAATGTTGTTTACTAGAGGAAAACCGTGATTGAACTTCTGAAACAAAGAGAATAGTTGCAACTTTAATCCTTTCAATAAGCCTTTGTTTCCCATTGACTAAAAACTTCCTAAAGGAAGGAGAGCTGCGAAAATCCAGGAAGGAATTAGATTTGCCAAATTCTGTTCCTACTTGGATTTAGATGCAAAGCCTTTGTTGCTCATTGTACAAATGTTTGAGCAAAAAAAAGAATTATCAATGTATTAAAAAATACATTTTTGCCAGGGTTGAAATTTATAAATAGAAGAGCTTTCTTTAACCGTTGAGAACTATATATATATTTTTTCCTTTTTGTTATCTAAGAGGAGTATGGGTTGTGGACTGCTGAGAACCAAACAAGAACATAGATACATAAATTAATATGGAAAGGAAAAATCAAGTGCAACCTCTTACTTACTATAAGCGTGCTTTGTAGCATCCAAAAGAAAGAAATCTTCGAAATCCCTTTCCATGACAACGAGTAATTGCATACTGGAAAGTACACTACTGTGGCAATAAAGCTGAATTCCCAGAAGACCTCTCAGAGACACTACCAATTTGTTTTGTATTTTTTTCCACATGCTCCCGTTAACTCTGTACCACTCTATGCTCTTTGGGTTTTAACTAGCCAAACAACATAGAGTCTAGGTAAATATATTCTCACTTAGTGCATAGGCCACAAGCCTTTTTCATTTCTTAGGTAAAAATAACATAATGCAATTCTTATCTCCTTCCCATCAATACAGTTCATATGTAACTGACAATTCCTTGAAAATTAAAGAATACTTGAACAACCATTTTTGCAAAGTGCTACATAGGAATAGACTGTGGAAGGTGCTGCCTACTGTCAACTTCTCATGATTCCAGTGTTAGTGTTGTATAGTGTGTGGCCCCAGCTCTTAAGTAAAACCATCACTATGTTTTAATAAAAGTATGGCAAAAGTTTGGCAAGGCTCAGTTGCAACACTGAACTGGAAAGGCTACACTATGAGTTCCAGAACGGCAGACAAAGAAATGCTATGGTTAACATCATATCCGCACTGTTTACTGCTAGCTCAAACTATACAGGGGGCTGGTGATCTTCAGAATAAGCAGAAACAAATGCCTCTGGATCCCTAGTGAGACACAAACACCCTTGTAACATTAGTAAGACAGACATACCTGTACCTTATGTTTAGGATATTGCAGGTTATTGCCTAAGTTTCAAGGATATATGGAATATTTACCAAGACCTAAAGATCTTCCTGTGTGTTAATAGAAATGTGTGGAGTACATCCCCCAAACCACCACACAGCGTTAAGATTAGATTAAATTGTAGCTACAGAGAGAGGAGCAGGACTTCTGCACCTCAGTCTTCACCACAACATCTGACAAGCTCCCCTCTCCCTTTAAGATAGAAAAAGCAGTTTTAATTTAAACTACAAACTGTGGACCAGGTCTCAGCTTGGCTTTGCGATTCACTATATGCCTGAGGGATAAATTATTTAGCATTAGCACATGGTATGTCATGTCTTGTTACTTAAGTGGACTATGGCTCCCATCCAGGCATCCCCTCGGGGCCCCCCGATTGGCTGCGGGTGATGTCATCTCCATTTGGTAATCCTCGGAAGCCCCAGGGACAGCGCTGGCGGCTGCAGGTCTCCCAGCCCCTCCGCACTGGGCCCGGCTTGGCTCCCGCTTACCACTCCAAGGTTCACTGCAGGTACTGCCCCAATTAAGTGATTTGCAATAACGGTGCAGCCAGACAGAAGGTGCAGCAGATGAGCTGCAGCACTGTCATGTAATATTTTGTTCCCGTAACTGAAAAGTTGTAACACATTTAGCAAGAGGGATATGGCAAAACAAGTTGCTGCTACAGACCCAAATTACATCAAGAATTTGAAGGGTTTGTTTAAACAAAATAAATACTATCAGGAAATTAATAATTTTGTTTTCAGTGTATTGTAGAATTTTTTTTTTTTTTTTTAAACTGGTTTAGCACTGCAAGGCAAAGGAAATGACCCAAGAGGATGAATTCTGGAAAATGCTTCTTCTGAAAGTTTGGCAATGGAATAATTAATTAAAGTGCCCCCTAAGTGGCTATATTTTATTGTCAGTTAACACCCCTATTAAGTTAAAAGGGTTTTTTCCTTCTGAACCACCTTCAGGTTATTTGTCCACGGGGGAAATACTCATTATGCTATTCATTACTGCAAAGCTCCCAGCATAAAACCAAGGGTTACAGGGTTGTTATTGAATTTTGCAGCAAAGGCAGCAAAATACCAAAGATTGCAGAGTACAGTCATGCAGATGGTACTGATCCCTCAGTGATGAGGCACGAGATCTGCATCTGTTAGTTAAGGCTCAGCAGTGGTTCTGCTGAGCCTTGTGACACAAGTGACATGCTGCAAGAAATCCACGTGCTTTGTTACTGTTACTGTTTAAATAGACTGCATGATACCAAATTGTGTCTTCTGGTGAGTAGGGATGAGAACTAAGTATGGTTTGTCTCTTCTGTTACTGGCTCTTTATTACTTGCAGTAGTGTTTTCCATGAGAAGAAAGGACTCTGTGAAAGCTAAGTGGACTTGTAGCTGTGAAGTAGTAATTCTGTGAAACAGAGGGAGAAGGGGAACTTTGCGAGGGGATTCCCACCAGAAGAAAGGCTGAACCGATGCAGAACAGAGCAATGTAAAATAAACAACTGTAGAGCAGGAAATGAGGAACTCTAATCAATACTGCAAGAAGGATTAGTTAGTCAAATGTGTGAGTTCAAAGCTGCAGCTTAAATCAGGCCTGCTAACTCCCTCTTCTTTTCCTGCATAAAATAAACTAGCTCTGGCCATAGGATTCAACAGCTGCTCGCAACTCCGATTGTAGGCATTCTGAAAGCTGGCACCTGCAGCCATCCCCAGCCTCAAAACTGCAGCGCCGAGTTAAGCACCCAGCTGCAGGGAAACACCTGGATTTGCTCTTACGTTCATTCTCCTCAAATGACCAGAGCTACTTTGGGTCTTAGCTAATAATAGAGGACCAGGAGTAGCAGGAAGAGAGGAGCGTAACCTATCAGGTTAAGACGGAACAAAAAAACACTTTGGTTCACAAGTCCATCAAAACCCATCGTGTTAGCAGCAGCGTGTCGCCACGCCGGCTCAGCCCAACGTTTTACCTCAGCTCACAAGGCGCCAGATGGCACAGCAGGGCAAACGGGGACCAAACCCACCCGCTGCGCAGCGCCAGTGCCGCGCTCCAGAGCAGCGCGTTTCTGCTGTGGCGTGACAGATTTCAGTGCTGTATGTGGCTGCAGGAGCTGCTGAACTCCGTCAGGACAGAGGCGGATTTGTGAAACGATCACTGTTTGGGCTGTTTCTCGCCTTAGGGGAAGCATGCAAAGCTTTCGCAGCGCCTGCCACCCTCAGGAACGCCGCTACCGCTCAGCCACGCCGAGGGACTTGGCGCCGCCCACAAGCGGCCGTTAATCACCAAAGGCTGCAGCTCGAGTCTCGCGATAATCTTGCCGATCGCGCGAAGCACGCGCCACAATCTCGCGGGAGGTTGGCGCGGGCCAGCGGCGCGGGGCCGAAGCGAGGCGGGCCGGGCTGTGAGGTACCGCAGCAAGATGCCGAGCGCTGCAGGTCGCGGCCAGGGCAAGGACCGCCGCCCGGACAACGAAGAGCAGCCGGCGGCCGACGTGGGTCTCCGTTGGGAGCGAAGGGGGGGAAGGGGCGAGCGCGGCGTCGAAGTCCCCAGTCCGCTGAGAGTAAAGGGACCGTGCCCGAGCTGGCCGCGGGGCCGGGCGGCGTGCCGTGGGTAGGCGGGTCGGGCTTCGGCGAGGAGCCCGGTTGTTTGTCCTCCTCTCCCCCTCGCTGGGCGCTGTCAGTCGGTGCTCGGCTGAAGTGCCTCGCCCCTTTCCCGTCGCGCGGTGTGTCCCGAGCCCGCGGGCCTCCTGCGTGTCGCCGAGAAGCGTCGCAGGGCCGCAGTACCCGCGTGCCCCGTCAGCAGAGCGCTGAGCCGCAGCACGGCCCGGCTGCGTGTTCACAAGCAGGTCTGTGCTGTACGGCCTCAATGGCTGCTGCTGGCGTGGCGGGAGGTTGAGCCTGAAGGTCTCGAATCAGCGCTGAAAAGCCGTGGGTTCCTATTTCTTCAAGAATAAAGATAATGGAAATCAGTTCGTTTCACTATAAAGGCAGTGTTGCTTTCTTTTGAAAGGCTGAATGTGTGTCAGTGACAAGGAATTCTCATTATAGAACGCTTCTGTAAAAAAAATTTGTATTTAGACCACGGTTGAGCGGAAGTAAAATAGCCAGGAACCCCAATGAAAGCATTTAGAATGATGTTGTGTGCATTTACTGGATGGAACAAAATAAATCAGTGGTTTGTTTTATGGAAACTATATGTGGAATTGAGATCTTTTTAATAGATCCCGCCCCAATGTCTTCCATAACAGATTTTGTTAGTAGTCTGTCAAGCTTGCTTGTACTGTCATGGCAGTCTGCTGGTTTTCTTGGTGTGCCTGAATATTGGAAGGAGGTGCTCAGCAGTGAGTCTTCTTCCATGGTGCTTCATTACATTTTCAAGAGTAGGCTCTTCATACAGGCATTTGTACTAAGTTCTGTGTAGTGAATAGTGATCCTAAAGTGTGTTTCCTTTTGGAATTTTTCTTGGAGGGCACAATTCTTTCACTTATATCTTTGAGATTACATCTCAATACTGAAATATTTTAGTTATTTGTTTTATATTACCTCAGTTAAGTAATGATTTTGTTCATCCTTTTGTGTGTGCTTCTTTGATGTGTGTTTCTTACCTTTTCTTAGGATTATGCGAAAGAAAGATATGGAGTGTCATCAATGATACAATCCCAAGAGAAACCAGGTCAGTTTGGAAAAAAGTATTTAAAGAAAAGGGTGGCAAAAAAGTTACCTATTGGATATGTTCACTATTTGTTTGAAAAATCATTTACCAGACTTTCTCATTCAGATCCTGCTGTCATTCTTTCCCTTTATTTGAATATGCTTGGCACTTGTAAGGTTGTATTTGGAGTGCTGTGTCCAGATTTGAGCTCCCCAGTGCAAGGAGGACACTGCCAGCGTGTCCTGCGGAGTGATGCCAGACTGATCAGGGACTGGAACACAGGATCTGTGAGGGAGATTGAAGAAACTGAGTTTGTTCATCCTGGAAAGGAGGCAGCTGAGGGATGGTGATCTTGTTACTATCTAAAGCTGCTTATCGGAAGAGTGTAGAGAAGGTAAAGCAAGACTGGAAATTGTGTGGCATTTGGACTGGAGGTCAAGAAGACTCAGGTTGGAACACAGAACACTGTGATAAGACAGAAGAAAAAGAATATCATGATAATGGTTGAATATCAGAGTAGATATGGAGAGAGTAAGGACCATGCCCTACACAGCCTGTCAGTTTTTCTCTGATGCTGCAGGTTTGACTTTCTTGTATTAAATTATTGTGGTTTGTTTTTTTTTTTTTTTTTAATGATACACCAAGTCCTGGAGATGTCAGGGTTGGTTGTTTGTTGCTTAGAATAAGTTCTGCTCTGGCTTGCTGCAATGGCTCATTCTGAGTAGATATATTTATGGGCTGTATTGTTATTCGTACCACTGTGAATTCAGAGAAACTTCATTTCATACTGATACTAAATTAGGATTCAGAAAGACTTGTCAGCTAAAGAACAGTGTTCCAGGTCAACATCCCAAGAAACATTAATCTTCACATTATTCAGTTCATGAAACATGAATGAGAAAAGGTAACAGACTGCCTTCTGGTAACTCTTTCGTAGTGGAATGTAAAAAAGAAACATCTTCTTTAACAAGGTAATTTTTTTTTTTCTCCTCTGAATAGTTGTTTTGGTTGACCTCTCAGAGAAATGCAGAGAATGTAGGGAAGAGAAGCCACAAAAGCGATCATAGGTTGAAAATGACTAAAGAGAAACATGCAATATTGTAGCAGAGCAAGAAAATCGTTAGAGATTGCATTAACAGCCATTATTGAATAAAATATGTTAGTTGTCAAAGAAATGTAATTAAAGTTGAAATTCTGACAGTGTTAGCCAGTTTAATTGCTGGCTTCTGTTGTCTTCAGGTACTCGATTTCAACATGTTTAATTGCTAATAATGAGTTGTTCAGCCAGTTTGGCAAAGTGAAGAAATTCACTGGGGTCTGGAGTGCAGGAAGAAGCAGGAACACAGCTGTCCATACTGAGTGTGGAAAGATAGCACTTCAGCCACAGCACAGAAGGTGTGATGACAAGGAAGAGTTAACTTCTCAAAGTTAGCATCTTACCAGTTCAACTGCACTGCTGACTGCAAGCTGAAGTCCTGTTGGATCTCTTCACCCTGCACTCTTTTCCAATGGCATTTGGCTCACTAGAGTTTCTGTGAGCTTTGTCCCAGGTGCCAGTTGCACACGCTGTGTCAGTAACTCTGCGTGAGCCCCAAGCTGGACAACTCACATGAAGAATCAAATTCCCCTTTCTTGGAGGAAGTCTTCCTTTGTCAACTGTGTCATGTTCAAAGGAGACATTCAAAAATACTCCACAGAAAAAAATATTGAGAAAGCAAATGATAAAAGCTATGGGAAGTAATATGAAAAGGGCAGAGTGCTGCAATTAAGTTTGTTGTCCCCTCAATCCTCATTTAGTAAAACAATTCTCAGCCAATGCATGGACAAGATTGATTAGGCTTTCCATTGGGCATAAGATAAAAGCTGCATTCCATTTCTTTGGAAGCTGGTTACACTGAACACCAAGTAAGGTAATGATAAAAACCAAAACGCCAGGAATACAAATCAGCCCAGTGCCTTCCTCAGGGTTGATGTTCTTAAGATTCACGAGTTCCTGGCAGGGAGAGTTCTCACCAAAGGACTCATGGGAGAGTGTACTCATCAATCACTTTCTGTGATTGAGTTTATGAGTTTCTGAGTTTATTGTCATTTCACTGTACTCATGAGTTCTTGTTTCTCTCCAGGCAAAATAAAACTTTTTTCAGTTACAGAGGTTTTGCATAGATGATCCACCCTGCACTGCTGATCTCACACACATCTGTGCCTTTGTTCTTGGCCCACTTCTGTTTTCTAATGCTGGCTGCTCCACCCATCTGCTGTTCTTACTTCTCATTACATCATGTTTTTACAGTCCTTCCTGCCTTCTTGAGGCTGTAATAGCTAGTAAAACTCCCTTTGCTTTTCCCTTTTGTCCATTCAGTCCCATTGGTTTCATTTCTCCTCTTTTAAAGCTGCTTTCATCTTAATCTGCTGTTGACTTTTAGGGTTCTTAATTAAACTTATCTTTCAGTTCTTTTATTCAAAATTACCCAATAACGTAATGATGCTGGACTGCAGAAATACTGATCATACCTTTCAAAATTCTGTGATGTAACTCAGATGAACTTAGAAAAAAGGCTGGTAAGGCAGGCAGAGAATGTGTGTGTGTGTAAACGTACAGCCCATACAAGTTTGTGGATTTTTATTTTCCCATTAAAATGTTAGAGCTCTGAAAAAAATCTGTCAGGTGATAAACGTGATTTAAAATGGCAGTGAAGGTGATATGGCATGAATATTGAATAGAGGCTGGACATGTTTGGTTTGATCTTTAGTACCTGTGTTCCCATATCTTCATTTCAACTGAAGCAGTTTTAAAATATTTTTACAGTATTTAATTATCTGTAAATGTTTATGTGGAAAGAAGGGGCGAGAAGACAGAAAATGTAAGTATATCTTGGATTTGTGAAAGAACGAGTAGGCAGTATAATGAATATGGTGGGAGAACCTTAAAGGTGAGAACAGGAGGCTTCATTTTTATCAAGGAAAAGAAGAACAGAAACTGAAGGAAGTTTCCTTTGCAGTGAGTTGTATGTGAGAGTATGGAGGGAAGGTAGAAGCTACAGTATGTTGGCTGGACAAGACAAAATGAGGTACAAACAATTGTGTACACTAAAAAATGTAGACCCTACTACGATCCAGCAGCATCTTAGAAGAGGAAAGAAGAGATTTGGGACTGATAGGGTATTTTTTTTCTGTAGGGAAGTAAGGTGATGGAAAAGTTGCTTTGCCTGTTACTGAGGAAAAAAAAAATCATTTTGTTATGTCTCTTTTTGCATATTGTTTTGTTAGCCTTTTTATGAAAGGTGAAATTGTTTTCAATTTATATCATACAAAAATTTTTAAACGAAAATTGTCTTATTAGTCTTGATGACCAGTATGTATCCAAAAAATATTTAATATTTATAATGCAGATGGTTTCTGAAACACTTGGGAATAGCACCTCATTCTGTCTTTATGCTTCTGCCTGGAAAATGTTTCAGGTTTCTTGTAATGCAGTTTTAAGTTGACTGAGCTAATTTCAACTGTCCACATATTGAACTCTTGGAAGTACTAAAACTGTATTGTCTTTAGCATGAGGTAAAAAGGAAAAAAAAAA